GAGATGCATATGGAAAAACAACCAATAAAGTGTCCATGCAAGGCCCCTACGATCGAATGGTAACTGAGAAGGAAGGAAAATATAAAGAAAGATGCCAGCAGTAAAATGTAGTAGCAGATTCTCACGAGCGGCTCCGTCAGGAAGCGGGAAATGGTCCTAGGGCCCATTTGTATCCAGGAAGAAGGACAGAAATACAGAAAAGAACCGGAAGAGAAGGAAGCCAGGTCTAGAGGAAAAGATGGAAAACACAGAAAGGCGTTAAGAATATGGAACCTCCAAAAATGCAACCTACATTTTTGGGCGCCCCTAAACCGGTGGTATGCGCCTAGAAATTGAAAGGCAACATATGGAGTCTACAGAACTAGAGATGCATATGGGAAAAACAGTCAAAAATGTAAGCTCCATTTTTGGACGCCCGAAACCGGTGGTATGTACCTAGACATTGAAAGGCAACATATGAAAACTACAAAAGTAAAAAAGTAAATGGTAACTGAGAAGGAACGAGGATATACAGAAAAAAAGGCAGCAGTAAAATGCAGTGGCAGATTCTCACGAGCAGCTCCGTCACGAGCGGGTAATGGCCCTAGGGCCCATGGGTATCCAAGAAGAAGGAACGACAAACCGAAAAGAACAGCAAGAGAAGTCAGAAAGGTCTAGAGGGAAATTGAGGGAAAAAAGGGAAAACACAGAAAGGCGTTACTGTAAGAAAATGGAATGGAACCTCAAAAAGTTTTACGGGCGTATGTACCTAGACATTGAAAGGCAACATATGAAAACTACAGAAGTAAAGATGTATAAGGTGAAAACAATCAGTGAAGTGTCCACGCTGAAATTCATCAAGACAATGTAATTTGCCTATAGAATTTGATTTAATTTGATAAAACCAAATATTTATAGAAAGAGTATACATTGTTTACCTGATATTTTGCATCCAAACGCCCTATAAGGGCCATAAATGAGGTGTTGGTTATATCCTGCAAAAATGTAAGCGACTGAGAAAATGTAACCTACATCTTCTGAAGGAACAAACAAAAAAGTAGTTTACATGTTTCCGAAAATTGTAGCTTACATTTTTTGAACTGGCTACCAAAAATGCAAATGTAGCTTACATTTTTGGTCTCAAAAGCACCAAAAAATGTAGCCTACATTTTTGCAGGTCCCCCCTCACTTAGGGGTAGGGATCGTACACAACCATTTTAAGAAATGCGGCCACTCAACCCGAAAGCGGCTGCCGGTCAATGCCGGTCTAGCCTTTGCTTTGCTGTTGAGGTTGGGTGGTTTTGAAACATTTTGAAACGGGAGGTGAGTCACCGGTGTCTCTTTGAAGGTGGTTTGAGGTACACCCTGGATATATATTTGGGCTCGTTGTTGGAAGTGACGACACGATTTTGATTTGTCTTAAGATATGTTGTGAACAGGACCAGTGGCCCCTGGATTTCAGTGCGGGTTCCTTTGATTTTGCTCGAGGTTTTGCAAGACTCTCGTGAAAAGGAGCGCCGCCGTCCCTTTTTTACACATTTTCTTTGTGAAAACGGCGCAACAGTTCGTTCGCACCACCCTTTTCATGACACGAGATCTCCCGAGCACTGTAATACAATGTAAAATCGCCTGAAATTGAATCCTATTGTAACTGAGATGATTTCTAGGTACTGTTTAGAAAAGAGAGAGAGGAACGCTGTGAGGGCCCGTGTTTTTAAGTGTGTTTGTGTGTTTTTTTCTACATTTGGGCCTGTTACACAAAGGGTATGAAGCATGTAGTGAAACAGCTGGTCTTGCATCACGTGTTCCAGTTTCAAAAACAAAAAATTGATGCTAAGGCTGCTAAGAGTAGTGAAGCAGCTAAGGTGAACTTTGACCAAAAATATTGTTTTTTAGTGTTCTGGTGCCAACTTCAAATTAATGTGATAACCTATTAGTAGGCCATACAAGTAATATTCTGTAACCATTATCAACCATTTTCTGGCTGATATGATTGTTGCTTGCTCCTGCAAGTAATATCCTAATCATTATTTGGTTCACTTTCTCAATGTCACTAACAATATCATCAGTATCAGTATCATACTCAGCATGTTGAATGCATCTATTTTTAGATGTTGAAAGTTCTACAGTTTGATTTTCTACAACTTGGTAAAGTGAATTAGGTAATTTAATATCCACATTTTTCCTCACTCTTCAGCCTCCAATCTTATTGACAAAAGCCACTCACTATACTGTAATACCAGCATGCTTCAGTTTAAAGTCAGTTGTATACATTTCAAAAATTGTGAAAATTAGTTTCAAGAGTAAGAAAATTGCGTTTATCACTCTGCTCTACTAGACTTGCCAGCCTTTGCCAAAGAATCCTAATCTGGAGGAGGGGGTCGATCCAATTCTTTTTGTTGGTAGACCCTCCCTCTCAGCCATTGCCAAAGGATACTAATCTGGAGGGGGAGGGTCGACCATTCAGTCAATCCTCCCTCCTAGCCTTTTCCAGAGGCTCCTAATCTATAGATCTGGAGGGGGGTTCGACCAAAAAATAAAAGTTTCTGTATTTTGTCGACCCCCCCTCCCAGCCTTTGCCAAATGCTCTTTATGTTGTTTTTTTTGGCTTCCCCCCCCCACCCCAGAGAGAGGTCCTTGTGTGGCACATAAGCTGTTGTTATTTGTTTCACAAGTATTTTCAGTTTTTTTTTAAATATATAAGTAAAGGGATTTTATTGAACACATTAGCTTTTTAGAAACACTGGAAAACGCAGGCCCCCACAGCGTTCCTTTCTGTTAGAAAAAATGGTAAAACACACCCAGTTTTCGAGGTTCAGACTAAGATTCACTCCAATACATATTCACTCAACCAAACCCGCGGTTTTCACCCCGCCGGGTTGTTTCAGCTGCATCGAGACGTATCAATACACATCCTATTCATGTCTATTCCTGACCGTCCTGACCCCTCTCAATCTCCGGATTTTTGAGCCAAGGCCGCTCCCATTGATGTGGCCAGCATCACACAAGAGACAGAGTTGAGCGGGGCAGCAGCAGCTTGGGCCATGCTGTCAGTACCTCTTCTTTACCTGAACATCATGTGAGGAAGCTTCACGCAGGTTTGGAGTGAATGGACATCGCGATTGCACGTGAGATGATCGATTTTACATGATTGTGTTTGGTAAAGGAACCATGTGTTTGTGTTTTTCCATGTGTTGACTTGAATGTGGCATTGCGTATCTCAAAGTCACCACGGCTCTAGGGGGAGGGAGATGGATGTGCTGAACTGCACAGAGAGTGCTCATGATCCTTTCTGTGTAGTTCTTCTTTCCCGCTTCTCAATCTCCGATCCAAGTGGCTCGTGCCCTCGCACGAGCTCTCGGCTAGGCAGCCACTTTTTTTTTCGCACAAGACACAAGCTGAGATAGAGTGATTGCCAAAAGGAGCTGGAGAGGCTGTCAGACAGAGGCCAGGTATTTGCATATCTGACACTTTCGCAGGTCCACTGTCACCTGGAAACTGCTCCTTGACCAGAATGATTCGCATTGTTCCTGGCATTGTTGTCGGTGTCCTTGGTTTTAAGGTTCTGCGACACAGACGGCGATAGAAGACCATCGCAAGATACCAAGAGACTTCTTGTCGATATTCCTGAAATTCCTCGACTAGAGGCGCGTGGTGGTTCATGTCTCCAACTTGCCGTCAATACAAATTCAGGCCATACACACTATTGGCCTACGGCCTGTGTGACCAGGCCAGATATTTGATGACACTTGATTGCTCGCCCGGATAATTTGGAGGGAAAGATCTAGACTTCCTGCACCCATGTGTTTAGGCCATCGTACCGCTTCATTTGAACAAAGGTGATTTGGTTTGGAGCTCAGTGGTCCTTTCAGATGCTTTGAAGACTTCAAACAGAGAAGTTCAACGTCGCAGAACTTGCAGGATAGAACGGAAACAATGCTTGGAGTCAGGAACTGAAAATGTGGTCCGCCACAGATTTCACAAGTGACTGAGAACTCACTGAGTAGCACGTTCATTTGGAGGCATCGCTAGTAAGCTTGAGGCCATCTCTAGTAGGTTGGAGCCATCGCGAGTAGGTTGGAGGCCATCGCTAGTAGGTTTGAGATGGTTTGAGGCCATCGCTAGTAGGTTGGACGCCATCGCTAGTAGGTTGGAGGCCATCGCTAGTAGGTTGGAGGCCAT